CATACAATCAATAAGTTCCCACAGAAAGTGATTATTAGCATTTAACAAACTTCAAACAAAAAAAATTATAACCCAACTGGTCACGGCATGTCTGATGCTTTTGTTAGCTCAATACTGAATTAAGGACACTCAATATTTTACACATTATCACAGTGTATGTATGGTAAGTTTATTCTATTATGAGAAAGCCTTGATTGTAAATATAGCAAATTTATTACATGAAGATTATTATAAAACATCAATATTTACATTGCATATTAAAATTACTATTTCACAAAATATAGAAAAATTTACTTTGGAGTATTCATACATATTGAGATAGAATGTGTGACACATATGTAGTGGATCTACACTATTTCAGAGTTTAGAACAATTGGTATGACTGTAGCTATTAATCACATACCGGGTATATGCATGTCCATGAAAGCGTGAAGTTTCCATACTACATAATTGTAGAGCTGATACCTGAAAATGACATGATGTATGAAGTTGTAAAGTTTGATTGCGATTGTGTGTTTGAGATATGGCTATTTAATCATAAAAATTGCCACAATTTGGTCATCTTGATCGTCAAAACAATGTATGTGTGAAGTTTGGAAGTGGTCAGCCGTTTGGAAAAATCTGAAAAACAAAACGATGAACATCAAAAAGGTTTTTCATAATGTTCGCTGTATGTACTAACTTTGAACAAACATACATGTGAAAGAAATAGATGTGTATACCGAGATATGTATCCTTAGATGTGGGATTTATGTATGAAGTTTGAATGTACCGGTATTCAGTTCAGGCATTTCAGAGATACGGACGGAGCTCAATTTTGTAAGTGCCTATCTTTGGACTGTGTCTGAACTGGGACTATTAATATATACAAGCAGTCCTACAATGTGATCCTGCACAATAAAGTATGAAGTAAACCAGTTTTCTATTCAAAAGTATTTCTTCAATACAGAGTGCAGTAAAGGTCATTTCGGATTACAGACATCTTGTATTTAAGCTTTCCAGACATCTGAGTTTTCTGTTTACATTGACGTATGATATACTGACCAGAGACACAGTACAGCTTCTGCCTAACCCGTTATACACATTCATTGCATTATCTCATTCATCTCATCCATTTAATACCCCTAGCGCATCACGATGAGGAGCAGAAGGAGACGGACTCAGCTGTGATAATTTTGTTTTGCCTTTTTCATGAACTTATAAGAACTTTTAGATCTCTAGTGTTTGAAGTTAAGATGGAAATGCAATAAGTTGATGTGATCAATGAATGGTACAATGGGTGAAACAAATGTGCCAAATACATAACCTTAATTTGATGAATGTGAAACATGGAAAAAATATGACAGGTTGCACAAAAGCTGTATTGTATCTAACCAATTCACATGAAGTGGCTTCAATCATGTTTCTCTTACTGGTACCATCACTGATTTCCAACTTGAACGTTGAAATTATTTGCCAACATTTTAACCTACAGTGGAAAGTGAATTTCAAGGCTAAATTAGTCTACATGTATGCACAACTTACAAGTTATCTTAAGTTTCATTATTATTGAATTATACCACATCTAGATAACAAACAAATAATTCGTTCAAACATTATAGGCGAGCGGGGAATACCAAAATAAGGTATTATTTTCGAGTTTAATACACCCCTCATACATACTCGCACAACATATATCATTTTAAAGCAAATTTTATCAGCTTTCAGAAAAGTCCTGTTGTGGTTTTGAAATATGGTTCCGTTTTCCAGAAAAACGGGTTAACTAACCCCCTGTCACTTCACATTTTGAGTTAAATGATGTTGGTAAAAATCTCATTTCTACTCGTAAAATGCTGTAAATCGTCTGTCTGGTTTGATGTGATTTATTGTGATTTATTGGTCGTAGAACCCGTAAAGTACTTTGCGTTCCTCTCGCTTTGAAACTGCCGCGTATGCTAATGAGCATAGTCGTTAGGACG